AGCAGAGCGGCAAATCGTAGCATACTTTTTGGGGCAGGTAGCAGGTAAAAGTTTCACTTCCTTTGCGGGGTAATTGTATATCAATAAACACGCTCGGCTTGGCATTATGGCCATTTAATGATTTGTAAATACTTGGCCGCAATCAAATAAATTCGTTTCTGTTCGCTGCTGGCCGAAAGTTGAGTGCCGAGCTCTGCGTTTTTATCGATTTAATGGGGGGAACTTTTTTTTTGGCTTAAATTGAGTCTTTATAGTGCTTAAAGATTTGTTTTTAAGCAGCAGTAGAGATAGTAAAATGTGCTGCCCTTTTAATAATTCAATTAATCGATCACCTAAGAGTACCTGTGATTCCGGACCTAAGCCAACAGCAGGGCCGTCTATGTAACTCCTATGCAACTTAGCCATAAACCCGACCAGGCCAGCTAATCAGTTCACTCAAAAGCCTTATCCAATTTCCGCTGCTGCCGGCCATGCCATTAACATACGAGTGTCTCCTCTTCCCGCAGCCGATTTGAGTCTGAGTGCGGAGAGCATCGACAGCATTTACGGAACCTCCGCAGCTGGGACTCGGCGCCAGGAGCTCGGCGGAGTGCTGCTCCTGCTCCTGCCAGTGGCTGTGGCAGTGGCTGTGTCACTGGCGACGGCGGGAGTGATGCGGGAAGCTCAGATGACAGTGCCGCCACAAACACTGACGCATGTTTGACACAGACGCCGAGTTGACATGGACATGGACATGGAGTCAGTGCTAAATCTGGACTTGCTGCCGGAGCCGGAGGTGGAGCTGGAGTTGGAGCTGAAGTCGGAGCAAGAGCCACGGTCTGTGGCAGTGCAATGATGATTGAGTTTGTCAATGCCAAACGCTGCTTGGTGCTGATTTATGGCTCGTTGTGGCTGCTTTTAGTTAAAGTTCGTCGACGCGAAATTACATATATCAAATCCAGCTGTAGCCAGTAAGCAAACTAGGCTTCCTAATCCTGATTCCCCAATCGCGCGACTATCCAGCAGTTGGATTCTAGTTAAGGTTCGAGTTTAGCCTGCAGAGCAACCTTTGTAAAATATCGCAGATTGCACATCAAGTACGGCACATGTATATAGACGAATTGCAGGGTTTTTTGTGTATAACTCTAGCAGGTAACGAAGTCGGAGAAGGCAAGGGGCTATGTATTATAACACTTGTATAAACCAAAGGTTTGATTTAACGTTTCAATTAAAATTAGTATTTTTAGTTGGCAAACAATCCAAGCAGATGTTGCAAGCTATAATTGAGTAAATATTAACCGGTATACCCAACTATATCGCAAAACTGCAAATCAGATTTAGATATCCGCCAAAAGCTTAAGGTAAAAACAAAAATAAATGAATAAGCTCAGCAGCTGGCTGTGTTTTTAAAAACTTTAACCATTCAAAATTACTTGGTAATTACCTCGCTTCGTTGCTCCAGATATATTACGAACCCATTTAAAATGTTTAACCATATTTGCCTCGTTCAACCAAATACATATCATTTATTCAACATTCTAAAATTGAAATTAATTTAATGCGTTCCCTTGTATGATTAAACTTCAACAAGCAATCTATTAATTTCGTACATTTAAAGGTAATATAAAAAGTATAGGCAAGCCGTAAATTTAATGCGCGAATTAATCTCACGATTTAGTGCGGATAAAGCTCCATTTAATATAGCTAAATGTATATTTCCAGACAAAATTAAATTGTTAAATACAAAGTATATCAGTTATGTTGAAATCGCTATCATGTACACACACACACACACACAAATAAATTTACCAAATACCAATATTAATGAATATTTGTAAGCATCACATGTACATGAGATTGTAAGCGAATTGCCGAATGGACAGGTATATTTATAAAATAAACAAAAGTTTAAAGGGTTAAGTAAAATACGTCTTTAAATAGTAATATTTGCGATTGATCTATTCGAAAATGGATACTTGTTCTGATTTATACAATGATATTGGAAATAGCCTTTAATTTGGTAAGTAATCATACCAAAACCGTATAAAATACAGAATTTATTTGTAGCATTCCTTGGCTGAGTTATTTGCAAGACACTTTAAATCAGTCAAAGGTCTTAGGAGCATAAATTACAAATACGTCTAACTGGGCACTAAAAAACCAAATTAAAAGCGGCTACAAATTTGAAATAAAACAAAAAATTGCTTTCATTAAGAAATCTTTAAGTGCTGCCTAGCACGCAAAACCAAACCATCAAAGCAAAGCCAAAATTAGAAAATACAACTCGGAAAACTCTTCAAAAAGCTCAGGCTAATAAAAGCCCTTTCCAGTCGGTGCCAGTGTGTGTGTGTGTGTGTGTGTGTGTGTGTGTGCCAGGTCCTGGCTGTGTATGGGTGTGCGCGTGTATTACGGCTAGTTTTTATTACATTTGTTTCCAGGAATTTTCAAACATGCCAAAACAGGTGCAACCGCAGCACCATTCGGCTTACGTGAGTTGCTTGTTTCCTCCACTTTAGTGCATTTTCATGGATTTTTCTCTCGCATGGTTTTTCCAGCCCGAGTGGCGGAGTGCCATGACCCATGGGTATATCTGACAGACATTTTTGCATATAATCCATATAAATCTCAAGGTTAAAGTGTTGTAAATATGCATTTACCTCACCGGAGATTGGGTAACGTTAACCGAAGCCATTGCCCAAATGACCTAAATACCTTCGATTCTAATAATGTCAAAATGTTTTTCTGGGTTATTATGCGCCCTGGTGGCGTTGCACGTTGGCTTGCTGCGAAAAATAATGAAAATATGTATGTAATTCCCCCACATGACAGGCTTTCATTGCGAACATGGCTCTTTAACTTTTAAATATGTACTATGTGTACTCAGAGAAACGCAGGATTTAATATGAACTATACTCTATACCTTTGATCAGCGCATTTGTGTCAAAATTACAGTTAGCATAAACACTTTGTACTTTTACCCAGTTTTTGTTAGAACCAAAGTTCTATAGAAATTCGATTCCACGAGCTGGAGTAACTATAAAACGCACGATTAGTGCTCGAAACGAATTTCTGGCTTGCTTACCCTCGTTCTGTAAATTCAATTAAGTGTGCACAATTATACGAGTTTAGATACGCCACCCGGAGCAAACTTATATATTAGCATAATTACAAGTTGAAGGCAGGAGCGAAAAAAGGAATCCCGAGCAGTGGCGCCAGTTTTGGCAGCGAATGGATCTGGCAGCTTGAGTACAATTAACATTACTTAAATACACATTAAGGTTAAAGACGCGCAATTTCTTCATGTTTTGCGGCTATTTTTTCGGCGTTGAGTTGTTTATCAACCGAATTGTTTGGGGCCCCAAAAAATTGCGTGACGCACAAAAGGAAAGCATTTCAGCACACAGGACGAGGGGTGGGGGAAATCGTGTCCTGGGGAAAAAGGGGACTCAATGGCGAACAGGAAGGGCAATGAAAATAAACACAGTAATTAAGTTAATGAGCATTTTGAGATTTATTATTAATTTTCTTTTGTTCGCTCTCAATTGTGGTGCAAAATCATTCCGAAACATTTTCTGTGGTTATTTATTATAATTATTGGCAAGCTCTCGCATTTGTACTAATTTCCAGTGCTTTTTTTTTGTGTGTGTTGCTGCCTTTGATTTGCATTTAAAACGCTACGAACCCGCAAAAGTGCGCTAATCCGCATTGTGGATTTTGTTTTACAATAATTGTTTTATATTGTTTGCGGCTGCGTGCGTGCCCTTAATTGTTATTTAAATGCTTTGCAAACGCTTTTAAATATTTGCAGGCAAGAACGTTTTCTGCAAGCCTATACTGAAAATGGTTCGCTAATTTATGGCCAGTCGTAAAAATCAGGGACCGCATGAGCATTTTGTCATTGTGCCAGCCGTGATTACGCCATTGCCATATGAGAAGCAGCCCGTTTAGCAGTTGTCCCTAAGTTTTACGATTTCACATTGAGGTTTATGGCCGAGCAGCCAAAATAAAAATTACAAAAACTCGCAGAAAGGACATCAACTTGTGGCCTGTACAAAGTTGCATATGAGTAATCCATTGCGGAGCAAGTTTATCGAATTTGGTAAGTGGCAGCAAATGAAACACCCAACTACTTGTTTCCATTGACGAGCCACAAAATGCCCACTCATTTATTTATCACTTACCACACAATTAGCCCAAGGAGGCGCATTCCAGGAACATATCTTGGCCATTTTGGATTGAAAGCATTATCGGGACCTCACAAAGTAATGATAGTGCTAATGACGAGAGGCCTGCAGGCGATTAGGCGAGCTCACAGAACGTGTAAACAAATTGCCAGCCAACTAAAGGACTAATCACCTGAAAGGACCCTCCAACACACACACACACACACACACACGCACACAAATCCCCTTTGGAACCTGTCAGATGGCCCACATAATCAGGTCTGACTCGCTGCCATCGTGTAAACAAAACTACAATTAATCAAAGATTTTTACCTAACGGGACTATATTACACGAGGCTTTGGTTAATTGCATAAATAAAACTGGGCCGCTCCGGGTGGGTGGAGAAAAGCTTAATTAAGCCTGCTCCACCACCTGCCTGACTCCCCATGGACCATGGACCGGGCAAATAAATAATAAAAACCGAAATTGACACAAACGCACACAATTGTGGGCGGGTGGATGGGCGCTGAAACAAACACGGAAATGGTGCCCAGAATAAAGGGGCCGAATGGCCAACAAGGAAGTGCAGTGTCCTCAGGCTCTGGAGCACGGGTGGAGCTGGAGGAGGAGGTGGAGCTGGAGGAGGAGCTGGCGGAGCATAACCATAACACGCCCGGACCAAAGGTTATCGTTAGGGGCTCTCTTCATGCGACGCACTGAGCTGGCCTTTTATTAGCCTCCTTGAAATGGACTTGTTAAGTGGTGCCGCACTGTCCACTTGGACGACTTTGATTGCCATATTCGGAAGAGACATTTAAATAATATGAATATGAACGCAATTGTAATTAAAGCTGCTGATCTTGTGGTTTATTGAGTAACTTGCGAAGGTAAAACAAAGTGGGATCCACCGCCACTAATCAAAAGTCGTGTACAATGTGTAGTAGAATTAAAATCAGTTTGCTGGCCCAGCAACCGAGGTGATCTTGTCCTGTCTTCCTGCACGAGTCGTTCCCATTGGTTTTGCAGGCACTGCATTTCAGCGTGAATGGGCGATGGACTAACGAAGGTGAGAGTGCTCCTGGGGGAACTCTAACGACTGCGCCCCGCATCCTGGGGATCGATGTTGGACACCCACTGCACTGGGTTAATGTAGATGTTGGAAATGGTGCCGCGCAGCGTGTCGAAGCCCTGATTGAGGGGCACCGGCTTGGCCCGCTTGTCCACCTGTTTCATCCAGTTCTGCCAGGCGCCTTGGGAGCGCTGGCGGCGTTCCTCCTCCTCCTTCTGCTTGTTGCCCTGCAGTCTGCGCAGTCGTTCTCTTTCCAGCTGCTGCTGCTCCTTCTTGACGCGCTCCCACTCCTGGAGCCGCTTCTTTGCGAGCTCCGCCGGCACCTTCCTCGTAGGACCGGTGCTAGAGCCGGATATGGAACCCAAACTGGAGGTCGAGGGCGAGTAGTTGCTCGAACCTGGCGGGCTGGAGGTGGGAGCCTTCTTCTGCTGTTGCTGCTGCTCCTTGTGGCGACACCACTCCTGGAAGCGCTCCTGGGCACATTTCTGGCGCAACGCCGCCTCCGCCTCCCGCTTCTCCCGCTCCTGCTTGGCGGCCAGCAGATTCTTCTGCTTCTCGGCCGCCTTACGCGCCTTCCAGTCCTCGAAGGTCTCCTGGCCTTGGCGCTCCTTGTGCTCCTCAGTTATCTGCTTGTAGTACGTGGACGAATCCGAGACGACGCTGGCTAGTTTCAGAGAGGGCACAACGTTGCTGCGTCCATCGGAGGGCTGCAGCGCGACGCGGTACATGTCCGACCAGCTGCGCGTGGACATCGAGGAGTTGTCGTAGATGCGGTTGGTACTCCGATTGCTCAGGTCGTATGTGCGACTGGACATCTGACCCTGATCCGCCTCGCGGCACGAGGGCGAGTGCTTGCTCTTCTCCTTCAAGGAGGCCTGCTTGTGGAAGGTCCTGCCGCTCAGCCCATCCAGCTTGTCCTGCTTTAAGAAGGTCCTGGTGCTGATGCTGTCCTGCTCGTCCTGATTGAAAAATGTCCTGTTGCTAATATTGTCCAAGTTGTCGACATCCTCACCGCGCTGTGTCACCGTTGGCGTGCAGCTGTCAAAGGAGCTCAGGCTCTGCACATCGTGATCGAAGTTTATCACGGTCTCCGTATCCGTGGCAGGTGCCTCATCCCCCTTGTTCATGCCCCGTTGACCCACATCTGTTGCATCCGCTTCAGCCACACCTTTCGGCTGCCCGTCCGTGAAGCTCACCATGCCACTAAGCAAGGCATCGTTGGCCTCCTCCGCGTCCAGTTCCTTGCAGAAGCTGGCAATGGAATCCGCTTCGCTGTCCGAGATGTCGGCGTGATCCTCCAGAAAATCCTCGTATTTAAGGCTGTCCGTATCCGCCTCGATCTTAGTTTCCGGCTGGACTTCCACTGCGTCACGATCGTCTCCCTGGCCAACATACCTCACAGTGGGAGCTCCATAGGTGCGGTTTGTGTAGCCCACCACCGACTCCGAATCCTCGTCACTAATGTCCGACTGGGAAGCTGGACGTACGCTGCCCCGACTAGACACCGGCTGGCGATCCACCACCCTACCATCGCTGCTCCGACGCGCTACAAAGGCCATTCCGGCGAAGGAATGTCTGCGAAAGATCGACAAAAGTGGGGATGTGGGAATTGAATCGGGAATGGTTTCTCCCGAGTTTTCGAGGCGATATGTCGTGTCGGCTTTGTGTCTGTAGACTGCTGAAACATGAAATGTACACTCCGACGAGCAGAGCTTTATTGCCCAGATTGCTAGGGTCGCCAGATATGGGAAAGTATTTCATGTAAGTTAAGGCAAGTTTTCCATATAGCATAGCTTTTTGTAATTCATTATATTATGTCTGCAGCAGTAGAGCTTGAATGAGCATTTTCGATAGAGCATTCGGCTTAATGCGTTTAACTAAGAAACAGAAAACGAGTTGTTTTCATAAAATTTCCGCTCTGACAGGTTACAAATTTGATGATGCCACATGGACTCGTATGTGCGTCCGGACCGGGCTCGAGTCCGGTGCAAAATGAAAACATTTTAACTAATGGCAAACAATTACTTAAACAACGAGCCGAACGGCGGTGAACCGAAGGTAATTAAAACCCAACACCACACGCATCCTTATCCACGTAAACACCGCGTTCAGTGTGGGGTTTTGGGTGTTGGAGCGAAAAGTCGCCGGCTCAAAAATCGTTTGTTGTCCTGTGAGGGCGGCGGGTTCGTTTGCTGCTCTGTCTGCTCTCGGCCAGGTAATGAGCGTCTCTTTCGCTTTTAATGAGTCCTGGCACACACACACACACACACACGCAGACATACACACAAAGAGATAGTGGGCCCCCCACTCAGGTGTAATAAAAAAACTTATCGCCGCTGGCTTTTGGGGGCTTTGGGTCGCAGCGCTTGGCAAACACAATGAAATGATTTTGTACCTCGTTAATTGCTGTATCGTCGTTCACCATCGTCTTGGCTCTCAAATTAGGGCTGAAAGCTGGGTGACACAATTAAGTTGGCCCCCTTTTTTTCAACGAGCTGCCAAATGACTTGTCAAAAGTGGGCGTGGCTGGGTGTGTGATTGCGTGTGTCCGCTACAATAGGCTCAGTGCTCCATTTCCAGAATCAGGTCAAAGATAAAGCTGTTTTAAAGCCGCTGGCCGAAAATAAAAAATAGTTTAACAACGGTGAAAGTGCTCTGGCTTAAAATCAATATCGATCAATTATAGTAGGCTGCATGTCTAAGAAAACAGGATTCAACGTTTATTCAAATCAGCAGCTCGACTATCAGATACCCTCTAATTAGCTACGTGGATCGACGGTGAAAGTGTTCTGGCTTAAAATCAATATCGATCAACTTTAGTAGGCTGCATGTCTAAGAACACAGGATTCAACGTTTATTCAAATCAGCAGCTCGACTTCAGATACCCTATAATTAGCTACATGGGTCGGCGGTGAAAGTGCTCTGGCCTAAAATCAATATCGATCAATTTTAGTAGGCTGCATGTCTAAGAACACAGGATTCAATGTTTATTCAAATCAGCAGCTCGGCTATCAGATACCCTCTAATTAGTTACGTGGATCGGCGGTGAAAGTGTTCTGGCCTAAAATCAATAATGATAATTATAGTACGCTGCATGTCTAGGAACACAGGATTCAACGTTTTTTTAATACAAATCAGCAGCTCGACTATCAGATACCCTCTAATTAGCGATTCCCAAAGACCCCTGGAAAAGATCACCCCGCACTCGGTGGAGAACCTAAGTAAATAACCCATAAAGTACTTAAATGTTTTCTATTGGATTATAATGTACTGGGAATTGGCGGAGCCAACTGTTGCATTGACTGATGGAATTCCGACAAGTGGTTAAGCCATTATGAAATGTTTCAGTTACACATTTCAGGCACGCAGCCAATAAAGGTTTTATTTTGAGTTTTAATTATATTTTTATATATATTTAACCCGTGTTATTGTCACGGACGAGCCATTGATTATTGGACGATTGTGCGCTGGTTGTTGGTCTTTGGGCGTTCGTTTAATTAAAAACGTGACAATTTTACCTGTGGCCAGTGCGGCGCATATTTCATACGCCATGTGTGACCTCTGACCCAATCCCAGACTGGCCAGGCGAGTCTACTTCCATTTGAAAATATACGAAATGTTGTTTACACTAATAACGAACATTTCACGTACCGCCGCCGAATGTCGTTACATTTCACTTTCGCCAGCCACAAATTTAATTAAGTGTATGAATATGACGGCGGCGGTGGCCGTGGCCACAGGGGATTGTTTTTTAATCAATGAAGCGTCAAATTGAACTGATTAATTTTGCCTGTTTGTCAAATAAAACATTTATTTTTTTTCTTTGGCTTCAAAACAAACGGGTTTACGACACCAATTGTTTTTAAATAAATGTTTGGAATGCCTTACCTAAAATGTTTTACTGCTTACTCGTATAGATGTAACTGAAAGGTATTTAGTCATTCGGCAGCTCAAACTGTGATCTGTAGTGATTTTACCTAATTAAAACGATGAAGCTGCCAGACAGAATTGAAAACTCATTGACAATCTTTCCACCCCAATCTTGGTTCCTCCATTGACGTCGTCAATTTCTTGGCAGCTCACGCACACCACAACCGCAAACAAATCAGATAAGTAACTACCCCAAACAAAAACAGAACCTGTTAAGAGGAAAAATAAATTGCGACGACCCCTGCAAACGAACTTAGTTGGCCAATTTACCTAAGTGGCTTGGCCAGCCAAGTTTCGTCACTAAAATATTTGCCTTAATTCAGACCGACTAACATTTAAGCAGAGCTCGTAAGTTTTAAAAATATTTCTTTTGAAATTCTGAAGTGAAAGTGGGTAGCTTATGGTTCTGTGCCTTAAATTTACTATTACACCTAAAACTAAAGCGTAAAAGGTGTTATTTTCAAAACCAAGCGCTCGACTTACTAGTTTGAGTTCTGTTTAAGCAACAAACTTGCAGTCTGGTTGACATTTTTCGCTTTCGCTGTCAACAACAGCAGCAAAGGAAGTTCTCGACTACAATTATACCTGACCGTGGCTGATGATTGGCTGGCAGTCATATCATATTTAATTAAGAAACTTTCAGACAATCGCTGCTGCGGCATTTCCCTCGACTTATCAGCCGCAGTTAAGCCGAAAAATCGTATTCCACTCGCCGGATTTTGAGTGTATCGCAGAGACTCGTTTGACATAGTTTTTGTGGGCATGTCGGGTTAGAAGGCAGACACCGAGCAGACACAGTCAGCCGCAGCACACACACACCCACACCCACACCCACACCCATGTGCAAGCCGAAGGACGAAGGATAAAGGACGATGGAAGCGGAAGTGGAAGATGGTGTGAGGAAGACGGCGAGACAGCAGTTGCAGCTACAGTTGCCCCTAAGCCGTAATTGGTTGCGTCACTGCATAAGTCACGAGTTCGCTTCCAGTCCTTCGAGTCCTTGTCGTTTCCATGGCGACACCAATACAATCGCAATCGCAATCACAACACCAACACACGCAAGCACTCGCACACACAACCACCTGCACTGCATGCGGCAGTCGGAAAGTATGCTGTATTTAAATAAGATAAATGCAAGTGCCCACTAATTGAATTGCTGACAAGATTTCCCAAGCACCGACCGACAGCCCGTCCAGATGGTTGTCGTCTCCTGGAATTTCGGTAATTAATAATTTCAAGTAAGCGGAAATGTGAAACAAGCATGAAGACCGTATCAGGATCAGCAGGAGCAGCAGGAGCAGCTGAACTCGGAGCAGGAGCAAGTTTGCTCCTCGGCCGTGGAGCTCCGTCCGATTGTTGTCGAGCGAAATTGAGTCCCGTCCCGGACTCAATGTGTGTCGGTGGCTCAAAGTTTATAGTGGTTGCAAGTTTGTTCTGCCATCAGCAGTTCATGAGCGGAAAAGTAGTGTGTGTGTGACAAGTGTAGTTAAAGCAATGAATTCGAGAGAGATGGTAGAAAAGTAAGAGTTTATGCAAGAAAACTGAGGCTATTTTGTGGAATTTAACTTCCAAATGTTGGAAGAGTCCCAACCAACCGAAACCAAATTGGAAATAATATGGGCCGTTTCAATATGTCAGTGTAAACAGAACAAGCTACACACTACAATCGCCTTTTTCTTAGTTATTGCCATATTATTGCTATGTGATGTGACTACAAGTTGCAGAAAAAAGCGGCTTGAAAGATGTAGAAGTTTAGCATTGGCTTTAAGAATATTTAATATTTTTAATTTCTAATATAAACAACCCCAAACAGACAGTCGGATGATAAACCACGTGGGAGCCCCATGCCAGACGATGTTGGGATGGGTTAAAAGCCCCAATCCCGCTGGCGAACACTTTTCACTGCATTCCCGCTCCTGGAGGTTTGTTTGTGGGCCTCGTTCGGTGGGTTGGTGGGAAAAAAGAGAAAAATAAGCTGAAATAAAACTGATTTCATTACCTTGATTAGTTGGTCTCTTCAAGTCTTCCCCTGCTGTTTGTCCGTTTGTTTGCCCGACTTTTTCTGCACACACATTTCAAAATCCCACGATTCGCTTATGATGGCAGTTGGCGGAAAGACGAGGATGAGGCTGGGAGGCCAGAAGGCCAGGAGGCCAGGACGCCAGGACGAGATGGTTGGGATGGCTTGGCACTCGCCATTTTTTGGGTTCAATGCAAACATTAACCTCATTAGCATGCCGCTCTGAATGGATACGATTACTCGGCGGATGCTACCTGCCTGCCCTTCAGTTTATTTACCCCTTGGCCTTTTTATTTTTAATGGATTAATTTTAATAGCTTAAACCGATTTGCTTGTTTCCGATTGAGCTGTAAGTGCTATTCGACCGAATCTTTTGATCAACTAATTAAATAAATGATTACAATGCACACACAATGCTTTCCCTGCCCATGACGATACATGAACAGTGATTAATAAAAAGGATTAGTATTATATGGAGATAATTAAATATTACCTGACCGATTGTCTATAAACATAGGTAGGCCTGAATTATTACATGACCAAAATATTTTTACTACAACATCGACTTAGCACTCAGCACTCTCTTGAAATATCACAAGTTTCACTTGACTATTCACTATTCCGCAATTTAAGCAGCGGCACTCGGCTAATCCTCACCTTGTTGGTCCTGCCACGCCGCACTTTTCCAGCATCGAAGTTGCAAAAGGGCGGAGAAAGCAGCTTAATTAAGCATAATATGGTTCTCAGCTCGCCTGCAGGACTCCGGCAAGTTGTGCAGCTTTTTATGCTTTTTATGCTTTTCATGCTGCTGTCTAAGTAGCTGTTGGTAATTTTTCTAAGCCACACTCACAGACCGACACTTTTGCCGGGTGCCGTGGAGCTTGCACAATTTTAATTGCATTTCCGCTATTTTTGATGCCCCTTGAATTTATAATTCCATCGGACTGGCTGTGCTTTTTGAGTCCTGCTGCTCGCCGTTTCCACTGGCCACGTCCTGAGAAAAATAATTCAATTAATTACAAAGCGGACAGGTGCAAGGCAGCTACTCTTAATATTAATCATACGCACTGTAAACATCGAAAAAAGGCTATAGCAACCGCAATGGCAAAAAAAAAAAGAAAAACGGGGAAAAAACGAGGCCCTCTGACTCGCATTTGTATCTAATAAACATGTTTATTTCATTAGAGCTACACATGCGGCTATTTCATCCGCCCCTCCCACTGTCCCGCCCCCAAGGGATATCATTTGGCCCAGACCCAAGGATTTTTCCGACATGAAAAATGCGTTCGCGAAAAGTTGCCACGAGTCCGCTCACTTTATGATTGGGGATTTTTCGTGGCGCCACTAATGTGCCATAGCTGCCATACGTTTTCCTTTTTTCTCGCTTTTTTTACCACCCACCATCAACTTCTGCTGGATTTCTTGCCACCGTTGGCTTTTCCCACAGAGGCTCTGCTGTCGACATCATTACAAATAAATTGAGCGTGAAAGATACATTTCGCCAGCATTGACATGCAGCAATGATAGGCACATTTCCCTTCACTCTCCACTCTCCAGGGAATCGTCACGAAGAGGCCTCTTCTGACTGGGCTCATTTTACTTTAAAACAACCTGAGCAGTTGTGGCAAGTAGTGGCCTTAGTGTGCGAGCCATTCAAATTTAAAAAAGGTGGAAGGCTTCAGTCGAGTGTTTCGACTGTCAGATACCAATTGCTAACCTGTGCAAGTAAATTCAATTTTGGCAGGACAGACAAACGTTATATTTTTGTGAATGTATTATATATTGATAGTTCCCAAATTATTCCACAATGAATAGTTACACATTTTAATAAGTAAACGATGCCTTGTTTCAACTAAGCGACGCACATTTTCTGCAGTGTATTAAGCCAGATGAAAGGTCAAAAGGTACCAGCCAATTTGATTGCGATGGCAATCAGAATTTAAACCTGTTAGTCAAAGCCATAATAAGCTTTCATGTTATGATTAGCCTTAAAGGATTTCGAATGTCGTAAAATGATTTAATTATATAGTGTGCCCAAAAGGAGAACGAAAACCTCAATATAAATTCAAATTTTGCAAACTTGAAACGCACAAGATGCACAGTGTGTATATATTTATTGAATATATATGTGTGCGTGTGCTCCATGTGCGACAATTTCAAAATGCGAATACAAAAGTCAATTTATTGAAGGCCGAAAGCGAGTGGGAAAAGTGAGAGAGATGGCTGCAAGAAATGTAAGCATCTAAACATAACCATGAAAGATATTTGATATAATAACATACGTGACCGCATTTACAATTTTCAAATCAAATCCCAGCATCCGAAGGATAAAAGGGGGCGTGTCGGGGCATACTGCCATTGTCTGTCTATTGCCATGCATGTAAAATGAATCCGATGTTGAAAGCCATGAGGAATCGGGTGTGGGTGCCCCGCAGTTAAGTGTGCTTGGTATGCTGTGAAATTTGTTAACATTTATGCATTATCATTTCGGCTTACGACATTTAATGATAGCCAAGATGTACGGCGACGTATGGGGGAATGGAATTAAGGCCATCATTGCTAAATGGGGCAAGGAGAAAGGGAAGAATTCGCCATGGTTAAATCAATCAACCTTTATGGCATTTTTCAGTACCATGCAGTACAGTTCAGTGTGCTTTGCTTTTTAAAAACTGCATGGCCATGCCAAATACCTAAATGCAAACCATTTAAATAGTATTCAATATATTTGAATCCAACGAAAACAGGTGCTCATTGTAACATGGACTCAGTGCTGCTTTGGCTTGCCAATTAATAATATTGCTTTTCATCCATCTGTGCAGAAATAAATTGAGGGAAAATAATAGTTTCATATATTACACCCACCGGCACATATGAATAGCAGTGGCCACTGCCAATCCATAATCTGCACACCAGAGTGAGAAATTAGTTGGCTCAGTGTCGGCCCGTTGCCATAAGCCCAATTAAGTTTGTGGTTTCCGCAATGTCATAATTTTGAATTTACTCGTTCACCTTTTTCGACAGCTGCCATGCTCTATGGGGCATGGGGCATGGGCCTTCTCGCCGAGGATTCTACGCGGAGCGCTTTGGCGGAGGAGGCTGCCAGCGCGGCGTATAATTAACAATAATGAAGTCGTAAAACCGCAATGCAATCAGCGATGCGCAAAACACACACACACACACACCCAACCACACCCAATCCCAAACAAACAGTCGAGAGGCCGAATGGCACACAATGCACTCTCTGCCGCGGGGCATTGGAGCTCAGTTCGGTCCAGTCAGGACACCTGGCCCACCCACCCAGCCGCCCAACCGCCCACTTCGAAGTCAGGGTCACGCGGGCGTTATAAAATATTTATAAACCATTTGCACGCATAATTAGCCTGTCATTACATTTTGAGATTTTCGCTGTTCGGCGCATCGCTGTTTGTTTTCGAATGTGTCAGCCGGGTCAATTGTGCATGCGAGTTTGTGTGTCCTTGCGCTTCAATTTGCAACAGCGCGTCTCGTCCACCGAAAATGATGAACGCTGAAAATGGCCAACTCTTGGCTAAGTGATCAATTACTCTGTGCATGTGCCAAAATGCAACCGAATGCATTTTTGTGCGCTCCAGCGAGTGTTGATTTCTTATTAGTACATTATATTAGTCTTCAAAATGAGCATCAGAAACTTCGACATGGATCAGGAAAATTTCGCACAGTGTGCGTGGCATTTCGATCGCAGCCTTAAAATGGCAGGCTGCTCGGCGCTCGACGTTGTTGGCCAAGTAAACAGAACGGATGGAGCCTTTTATACTACATAGACTGCGCTGGCAAGTAAAACGAGTATCATTACAAAGTAATTATACCCTTCGCAAAATGAGACCGACGACGGGCGCGAGTTGATGGCCGAAATTCATGGACGCACGGGGGGCGGCAGTGGGCGATGGGTGGTGGGTGGTGGGTGGGGGGCGTCGAAATGTCATGTCATGTTGCGACAGGCGACGGAGCGTTATGCAGTGCGGCTGCAAAGGTCCGTGTACATGTGTTCGGCCATAAAGTAATCAGCGGAAATGTCAATGGGCCGCCGCCATTTACTGATGTGTCGGCAACTGAGGTTTACACCGTCAGCCGCGACGTCATCGCCAAGGCACGCGTACTATATCCTTTATGTACGCCAGCCAGTTGTTGTTGTTGTTATTGTTGCAGTGGCAGTGGCAGTGGCATTGTAATTACAATTTTCCGCTGCATATGAAAGCGCAATTGGCCGGGCTGCAGGTTTAATTGCTCGACGACGGTGGGCAGCGACAAACTTTTCACGGCTCAAATTGACGAGAGCATTTTTTTTTTGCGTGTGGCCGGGCAACGGTTGAAAAACAAGTCAAAAAGTTCAGTTAACACTTTCGAGTCCTGGCTATCGGGTTGGAAAATAGAAAAGCTAAAAAATTATTTCGTTCAACAGTGGCTTTACTCGTTCAACTGGCACCATACAAGTTCCTCTACAAACAAGCAGCAAGCTTCAGAAAATGGCATTCTGTGGCCACGTTAGCTCCTCGGGACAAATAGTCCTGCGGGATGAGATCTTCACCAGCAGAACACGCGTCGCACGCTCCTCGTCGTCCAGAGACTCACCAAACTCCATGTCTTCGCTTGGCCAGAACACCACCACACGCACCTACTTCTTCAAGGACGACGGAGGAAATCCTTCGCCCCCAACCACGGATAACTGGTCGCAGGACGGACTGCAGCGATGGGAGAACAGACACATGAAGGGAATCAAGGTAGGAGATTCACAAAGAGCGCCTAGGATAGTTCCACCTATAACTTCTCAGGTGGACCGCCAGCCGGAGGCCGCCTACGAGAAATGGTACTCCGCCAAGCGGCGGCAGCTCCTGGAGAAGCAGCGGCGCATCAAGGAGGAGCAGGACTTCAAGCAGCAGGGGACGGAGGAGCGCAAGGAGCTGGCCAGGATGTGCTACGACCAGTGGCTAAAGGACAAGAGCCGCCAGGCGGCCAACCTGCAGCTGGAGAATCACATCCAAGAGGCGGCCATGAAGGCCAGCATAGCTTTGCGCAAAAACCCCCTGGTGCCTCTGCGCAAGAATCCCCTGGTTTCCGCATCCAGCTCTCTGGGCTCCGGGCGGAGCTTCTCGACGGCACCCAAGCCCATTCGCAAGGTGTCCAAGGACGAAATCCGCAGAGTCGTGGAGGACTGGTGGCTCAGGAAGCAGGGTCAGCAGCAGGCGCAACGCGAGGAGAAGCGACGCGCCATGTTGTCCAAGGTCCTGGAGGAGGAACAGCGCCGGCAGGACGCCCAGGCTGCCTGGTCGAAGTGGATGAGCAACGTGGACGCCAGGCCCAAGCCGGTGCCCCTCAACCAGGGCATGGACTCATTGCGCGGCACCATCTCTCAGCTCTACGTGAACCCAACGCCATGGATGGGTGCAGTTAACCAGCCGCGGATGTAGTCATCTCCGTTCAGATTTCCTGTGACCGTGCGAACTTTATTAGATAACATACAGTGATGTTGCGCTTGTCGAAAAATATATACACCGTCATGGTTTAAGAACTACAATATCATATCGCTTTGCTAGAGTTTCAGATGTTTAATTACGGCATAAATACATCTTTATGCTATGATTAGCCCACATTTGGTATGGTATTCAAGATACATATTTTGCACGGCACTAAATGGTTTGTAGTTATAACCTCTGCCTCCCAAGTAGAATGGTCTAACACTATTTTCAAGCAATTCAAAAGTCAATTCGCACAATTGCAGCAATACACAGTTTAACCAATTTTGTAAACCAATACGAAAAGAAGGGCAAGTGCAGCTGCGGAGGGGCACTTACCATAGCAAATAACAATTTGCAAGAAAAACACAAAGGAAAGGAGGTAAGCAAAAATCGAATCCAGGACTGCAGAGGACAGGACACTCAATAAGATTTCAATTGTTGTTGCACAGGATACATTTTCGGGCTGGATACGAGCTGGTGGAGACGATGCAGACGATGCCCAGGAAATGGTGTAAAAGCTTTGCCCATTTTCATTAGATTTCCCGTTGCGGCTGATCCTGTGCGTCTGAAAAGTTACAAAATTATATTGTTCCAAAATAAAATAAGGCATGTTTTAGGTAGCATCGACTGCAAAACAGGGACTTGGCCAGCTGAGAGTGGTAGTGGGAGTGGGAAACCGAAATACAAACAAACAAAGCCAAAGGCCTAAAGTTCATTTGCACAGTTTCCCAGCACTCGGCTTGCTCCAAGCTCCCCCTTCAGCAAAGTCAAAGGCCAGCCGGTCCGGGCAAACAAAAAGACCAAAAAGACGCTGGAAATCCTTTTGATGAGGTCAACGTTGGTTTGGTTTCCAGTTCACACACGCATGACTCCGCACACACAGGCAGGAAAGTGCACTGTGATTGAAGTAATGACACAAGTACGGCCCACCGTGGAACATATGCCTAGATTTCAGTGAGTTCGAAGTTGATGCTAAAAACTATAAATGATTGGAGTTGGAGGGCACACTTAAAGTTTAATTTGATATAAATTATAAATAGCTTTTTCACTCTATTAAAGCTAGTTCTATTCGCAGTTTTATAGAGCATCTGGCAAGCACTTTTTCACAAAGGGTTGCTTTTCAAATTTCGAAGCATAAATGCTTCAGTTAATACGCGATGGAGCGCTTCGTCACTATGTGAACTGCCCTCCAAGATCTTGAAAAATCGCTTAAAAAGTAAATCCAGCAACTGTTGACATAAAACAACAAGTTTCGCATTCACAGGCACGGACTTAAGATATTTTGAGGATATTCCTTTCCCCTTTAACTACAATTTTCGTACAGTGTGCAGTTGGCCAGGTCGATGCCTACTCATGCATGTTAGGTTGTTTGTTCGAGATACTGGGAAATGATGGGGAAACGACGTTGGTTGGAGAGGGGAAGCCCCGAATATCGAGCATTGGCAGGATTAAATTTGGAAGGTATTGAAGCATGTTATTCGTCATCAATGTTGTTTGCACTAACTAGTTTGTGCTGCTTGTGCTGCTTTTGTTGTTAAGCCCGTTGTTTTTGTTGCTGTTTGTTTTCATCATCCCCATGCTGGCCACGTTGTTGGTGCATTTGTTGCTATTGCATGCAACTTGGTCGCCGAGTCAAGTCGTTTCCAGGTTGCTTGCATTGTTTACGCACTTTCGCTTTGATATTATTGTAGTGTGCATTTCGGCTTGATACCCATCTGACCAGGGTAATGGCCAGATTGAGCAACCGCCCTCCGGACCACAAGAAAACCCCACGCCCACCGATGCCCACTCACTGCCACTCAGAGAAAATCTAGACAGCTATGCTGGGTATGTGAGTGTTGTGTTGGAGTCAACTGCATTAAAGTGACAGTTAATAAAGTGCTTTTCATGTAAAAGAAAATTATTCTGTAATTATTTATTATAGATATATATACTTATATTCGGATAGGATGACTATCCATAGCATCGATCGGAAAATGGCAAGTAGTGTGGTATGTGCCATATTTACACTTGGATTCCCCCAGGGCACAGTGCCCAGTTACACTGCCTACCCACCCGACATTCAGTTGTTGCGGGAACCATGTTGAACATCCTCGAACATCACTCATAATCCCTCCGTTCGAGGCAATCCTCTCCAGCCGCCCACGTTATTGATCGCAGGACATCAGTTTGATAAATATCTGGTCCATTGTGTGAGCATAAAACTGGGCATCGACGGATCCGCTGACCTCTTGCAGCTTTCCTTTACTTTGCACCTGCCTTTGTCGGGCATTCAATGGTCGGACGGACTTGAATCCCCATTTTCCATTGCATTATTTATGGGCACAGCGAGCAGTCCACCTTGGCGCAGTGGTTAGGTTGGTGGGGGACTTCATTGTTTTTACCACTAAACACCTGGCAATATATCTTTTTGTGCCACTGAAACGCGAGTTATCCTGCGGACTGGCCCTTTTTATTCCGCTCTATCTTGCTGAAAGGCCATGAAAGATTGAGCTTTTCTTATGCAAAATTGTTGGAAGGGAAAAAATGGTCGCGGTGCTCGGCAGTTCAGTGTGTGGGTACTTCGAACGACATTTCTTAAATCAACTGTTCCGAAAGTCCTGCCATTATTGTAATTTCCCCTTTTGAATTGAAGAAAAACCTTGAGATTATATGCGTCCAGGTTGAGCAGTTCCATTGGCACGCAAGAGCTTTAAATCAACAATTAATTAAGGAGCAAATTGAAATTCATGACTGTCGCTAATCAGGCCCGCATTTACATGAAACCAATAGCTGCAGAACGGTGGAAAAAACTATTAAAGGGCAGCGGCAAAAAACCGGGCCAAATTATGTCAGCAATTAGGCAAACTATGATACTCGAAAGAGGAGCTCTGCGAGGGAGCAGAGCGGAAAATCGAGGGACGAAGTGGATTTCAACGCAGACGGTAGATGGCGAACGTGGACATCATTAAAAACTCATTTACATGCAGGCTGGCCTGTGTCGCAGGACATTTGGCCGGGAAAGGACGGATCTGGCTAACTCGGTGACTTGGTGACTCGCTGACTGGGCTCACTGGGCTGACTGGGCTGACTGACTGGGGCAGTTTGTTAATTTTAGATTTGAGACACGTCTCCAACTCAATTTTATCGCATGTTACGCCTTGCTGCCTTTCGCTTTACGCCCAATGTCAACGGACTACGGACCAGGACCGACATTTTCCAGCGATTTCCCTTCCACCCACGTCCTGAATTTTGATTTCAAGTGTCGCCGTTCGCCGTTCGCCGTTGCCGTCATTTTCATCCGAATTGACTGGGCCAATTAGGGGGCGAGGTATATTTTATGCGCCTCAAGAACCTCTCTACAAATTGGCCATTGTTGCCACTGCCATTGATAGCTCCACATTCCATTGCCGCTGGCCAAGTGGTATTCCTCACACGGCGAACTCCTGGCAATACAAAGTTGGACAATGGCATCATACGCAAAGTTTTAATATCATTTTTGCATAATATTTTCTCAGCCGAGCAGAGTTTTTGGGACTAGGCCGGCCACCTGACTGACCGCACGCATGGGAATTTCGCCAGGTGCTTGGCAGCCAACTCATAAAGCTAATTAAGAAATGTGCCAAAGTTGCTCTGCAAAGTTGTGTGGCTTACTTCGGGGCAGCGCTTCCTGGAAATTAGGTAAATTTATTAAAAGCCGACAAACAAACTTTGAGTGCACGGCCAAGTGGTGCGTTTAATTCAATCTAGTATTTTGACTGGCAGATGGAGTCGCTCCTCGCCGGAAATTACGACCATTGGTTGCAAATATCATAGGAAAAGTATCACAATAGAGTGAAGTCTAGAACATAAGATGTTGGGTGTATGAAAGAGTGTGCAAGTCCAGAAGTTTGACCAGTAGTTCCGAGTACTAGGCGTTGAGTGAGCTGTAAAGTCTACAACAAAGCCCGAGATGGCATAAACACTTCGCAAACAACAATTTTGCATATTTACTTATGCAATATGACTATCTTCCCGAGCACAACTAAGCTGAACTTCTTTTCGAGCTTTTATTTAATCAGGCATAGTTCAAAAGTTGTGAACAAAAACTTTTGGCCCAGCAATTGTTTTCCTCAAATGCCTTTGATATTTCGCTCGACTCTGCCTTCTACGACATGAGATGCGAATATTTGTCGCAATCAAATAAAAACTTTGCCGGATTATAAAAAAGGAAAGGAGCAGCAGTATTCCCAGAGGAAATTGTAGGCTGCAGCTGCGGGGAGGGCGCAATAAGCCTCTGCCTAGCCACTTTGGGTTGAAAAATCTAATAACTGGTAAATCACCTTGCAAAATGTTCATTTCACAGCGCTATAAACACGCATCGAGCCTCGTCCTTGGGCTGGCGACCCCTTGTCGACTTAAACACTTACAACGACTTAACCACCTTTTGTTATTTCGCCTGCGTAGTAGCCCTGTCTGTCACTTTAATCTGCCTGCCACACGCAGAAGAGCCGGCAAGGAGGCGAAATCCCACCAAGGACACTCACATGAGCCAAGTTTGCATGCCTGGCGAGGCTTGCAAAGTTATTAACACGCGGCTCCGACTTAAATAAGTCATATTCCAGCCGCCTTTCGGGCTCAGCTCACTGCCTCCTTGACTGACTTCTTGTCTGGCCCGCAAAGGGGTGAGGACATTAATGGGGTTTTCCCATTAATTGCACGACCGGCCTGAAAGTGAAAGCTTTGAGCCAGAAAAGTTGGCTAAAGACCGCTCCGTCGTCTGTGCCCAATGTGGTTCATTTAAATTTAGGGCCATAATCGTAGTAAACTTTTATTTTAAATCTTTTGGCAACAGAATGCAACTTTAGGAAAAGGTTGGACAGGTATCTGTTAGTCGAGCCCTTTAATTCTTGCTTTCCATGTAATCAGTGAGATTGCGCAATCTTTCCATTAACGTTCCAAAAATTCCCTACCAAATTATGCGTTTTGAGTTAATGTACCTTGGGGAAGCGATTTCGATTTCTATCAATGAAAGTTTTGGGAAATTCATCCACCGCTAATGGAAATTCGTGTTTCGAGGACCGCCATCCGCGTCGCCTGTCGATAAAGGCAAATCCTGTTGCAAATGTCGCTGCAGTCGTGCGACTTGTTTGTAAATTATAAAATAATGCCAGTTGCATTCCCAACGACGTCTGCTGGCTCTACCGACGCCGTTTTTCCACTTTTCCGCTTTTGTTTTTGAATGTGGTCATAGGCTGCAGGGGGCGTGCAGGGAGTGCACGGCAATTTTTATGCTAAAGTGGCACATTTTTGGCTTAGCTTTTAAACATCGCGGCTAAAAATCGTACCTGTGCACCAGGGGCAGCGGCAGCAAATACTTTCCGGGGGCCGGCAATGGCCGTCTCAGCTCTTTGTTCCCCAATAGTTCCGGCTGATATGCGATGGCCGTGGAAAAGGTTCGGCGCCTTGAGCCCCCTTGATCCCCCAGGATGCGCCTCTGTGGGCAGCCGAGCAGCCGAGTAGCCGTTGTGAGTAGCAGTGAGGCAGTGTGGCATGTCTGCTTGGCAGCGTACTCAACTGTCGGCACTGTCAAATAACTGACATTACCCCGCCGCCACAGCTGCACCACTGCACCACCTCCACCTCCGCCTCCACCACCACCGCCGGCTTGGGGCAGCTGCACCACCGCAGACGACGCCGTGTTGTCGTCATCGCTCCAGAGCCGCGCACTTTCGTGACTGCGAACAATAAAAATTTCGATTAGAATGTAAGAGCAACAACCGTTCGGCAACTTCAGCTGCTGCAGCGGCAATGGCAATCAAGTTGTGCGAGGCCCGATCGGCAGAAGGGTCCGTGGACCGGGTAGCTGGGTGGGGTAGCCGTGCCACAGACATAGAATTATAATGGGAAAAAGAGCTAAATTGCATATTAATAGAAATGGAAACCTGAATGTTATGCAGCGCAAAGCATTTGAAGGCCCACCATTTCATTACATTCTACGGACTTGAGAAAGGTGGCAGCAGTGGAAAGGGTGGTGCAGGAAAATTTAGGACATACCCATGCAATCTGGGGTAATCTAAAATAATAAGAGACTGAGAGATTTGAGTCTAGTGTCAAGTAACAAAAAGTTATTGTTCGCTATTCCAACACACTAGCTTCAACACTTTTCATAGACTTCCAAGTTTATCGGTTTGAAGACGCAAGGTGTTCCATATATCGTCTTAGACGACGTATTCCAGTTGAATATTGGGTACACAGGAAGCTACAAACATAGTTACTTTGAAGTCACAAGAGGAACCTTGGAAGCCAAGAGCACTGCAAAATGGCATTTCTGGGAAGAGTCAACAGTCAGGGAGCCCTAATCGACTGCGAAGTGTTCTGTGGCCGTGCAGCCATGGGCCAGACCCAGCAGGACTCAGCCTGCCAAGCCAGAAAGGACGAGGCTAGTGCGCTGGTCCCGCGCAGAAAGGGTTCCAGGACCTTCATCAAGACCTGTGACAAGGACAGCCTAGTGCGCTGCATGGGAAGCCCCAGCACAGTGCGCTACGTGGGCAGCTCCGGGTCGTGCAGTGAAGTGAACTCATTGGACGAGACGGAGATCTCCACTCTGCGCTGCTGCTCGGATTTGTCCCTGGGCACCCTGATGTCGAGCAAGACAATTGAGGGGGTCCGCGTTGGTGAACTGGGAGAGGATGCCGAGCTGCAGACGGAGTCGGAGACGGTCTGCCTGCATCTGGGCAGTACCAGCAGTAGCGCCAGCAGTGACCGCAGTAGTTCCAGTGGCACATCCTACTCCTCATCCCGCAGCGGCAATTCAACCGACAAGGACTCGACGACCTCGATGTGCAGCTGGGAGGAGGCCATGTCCCAGGACGGCGGCATGCTGTCCCCGCTCGAGGAGCCACTGAGCCACAGCCTGCCCTCGCTGCGCCTGGGATCGGACGGCGGAGGATCGCCGCCCCTCACCTACACGCGCCGCATCGCACCGCTCCAGATCCAGCGCTCCGCCGGCGAGGCCTACGAGAACTGGCTGTCCGGGAAGCAACGCCAGTGCCAGTACAAGCTGCAGGCGAAGCAGGCCGAGATCCAGGTGCAGCGCCAACGCACGGAGCTGAGGCAGCGGCTCGCCAAGGAGAAGTACGAGCAGTGGTGTCAGCAGAAGGCGCAGCAGGCCGCCAGTGCCCCCAAGCCCGCCAAGCCAGCCAATACCGCCAGTACCGCCAAGCCATCCCAACCTGCTCAGCTGTCGACGCAGAAGAATGCCGCGTCCGTGCAGCACCACCTGCAGGAGTGGGAGATGCAGAAGCTGAGGCAGCTGGAACAGCGCCGCCAGGAGCAGCGAAACGCCGAGCGGCGGCGTCTGGAGGAGAAGGCCGTTCGCCGGTCGCAGGCGGAGGAGGCCTTCAGTCGGTGGATGAGCAACGTGGCCCAGAGGCCCAAACCGGTCCCCGCCAGCCAGGGAATGAAGTCGCTGCGCGGCACCGTTTCCGACATCTTTATAAATCCCAAGCAGTGGGTGGACTAGGCAGCCGGTTTTGAGTTGGGCGGAGGTGTCGGAAAAGTGAAGGGCCTGGATTGGCTGAAAGAAAGTTTTAACAAGTGTAACCATATTTACCCATTTAACACTATTAAATACCCTAAAAGAATCGCTTCCTAAAATCATTTTGCAACTGGGGTTGCAAAATATATAATATAATAACATAGGTACTTGTGATTTTGATCATTTCCATAATTGATTGCATAGAACAGTTTGCACCTTCTGGATTATATTCGCAGTATCATTTGACCACCTCTCAGCAGCTAATAACCACTTCCTCATTAGTGGGGAATCAAAGCATCGCGAGGCACAAAGGCATTGATTTTGCCTCTACACCAATACGCAACTAGTCCATTAATGAGCTGCATTAAGCTGCCCCCGCAAAGGAGATGTTGCATGTTCCCCATAGAACACATGCTCATCATCATTAACAAATGCTATACATCAAACATCCATTTCAATTGTCTAGGCAATATGTCTATATTCACCCACAAGTTGTCAAAATGTAATGTATGTTTTACAATACAGAAATATTGTGAAAATTTCCCCTAATTACCCTAGTTACCTCGACTATTAGATACCCATTACTCGCACGTAATAGGACTCTTAAGTCTTGAATCAATTTTTGGATTCAAATATTTTTTGCTTGCTGATGAATTTTCAAAGGCAGATCCTGTAATCTTAACTGCAATCTGATAGTAATCCTGGCTGTATATCTGTATTTACTAGGCAAGGACATGGAAATATGAGTAACATTTTTGCCAGAGGTACGAAGAAATCTTCCATTTTGCATGGAAATCTTTATTAAAGAAACACAATTATAAATCCGAATAAATGTATACTCACAACAATGAGACAATTTCGTCTCAACAGTAAACGAATATATTTAGTGTTTTTTGCTACTATTCCAAATATTAGTATAATGAAAATGGCGGTAACGAAGCATTCATTATGCTGAATTATTTCGATTCCCAATCGAATTTCTCGACTTTGCCCAAACACAAAATGAATAATGGGTGCAAGAGCAGCAATATTGCCGCACAAGAAAACAAAACCGCAGGCCTCAATTAATTTTTTCGCACAAATCACGCGAATAATCAAAAATTAGATAGCACCTGCTGACCTGCTGCTGCTGCTGTTGCTGCTGTTGCTGCTGCTGCATTTGTTTTTAATGCAGCTGCATCGAAAACAATAGCCAGAGATGCTCGGCCGGAAAGCTGTTATCCCATGATTGCGGTGAGTTTTCGGGCGGATTTGCTTAGGCCTCGGTGGTCGTTACGCAGTTGGCAGTCGTGGAACAATAATGTCCGCAAATTGACGCCACAAGCTGTTGGTTCAATGAGAGAGCCCACTGGCACGCACAGATGCACAGATGCACATGCCAGTGCGTCTGTGGCACTTCCTCTGTGCCGCCATATTGAATTCGAGCCCGGTTAGTGGGTTTCCCCGCCCTTTCCACTACACCTAACCACCTATGCCCACTTCCGCCCACCGCAGCTTTGGAGCTCCGGCTCCGTCTGCGCTCTGGGCTCTTTGGCGCTCCTCCGTGTTTTGGTGCGGTTTTTATTTGCCAGCTTGTTTTCTGCTGGTTAGCCGGTTGAATTTCCCGAATTTTCCGGCTCCCAGGCAGGTTCTACTCGGCGTCGCGCGTGTTGCCATCGAAAAACAAGCAACCGTACTGCTCCCTTTCGGACCCAAAGCTCCAGCTCGTGCTCCTCCTCCTGCCCCTGCTCCTGCTCCTCCTGCTCCTGCTCCTGCTGCTCCTCCCGCGCAATAATTATCGTTGCGGGCGCCACGGCAACACGTTGTCTAAACGCATTGTTAGCGAATTGTTGGACAGGAAATCTGGTAACAAAAATGAGTCCCTCTTCTAAATGCACTAAATTTCACTAAGCATGAATATATTTAACTGACAAAGGTTCTGTAAACTGCACTGATTTAGGAGTTGTGTTAAGAAAAAGCACACATTTTTTATAGGACAGAATTGTTAAAAATCTAAATAAAAATCTGATACCAAATGGTTTCAAAAATTTTTCACTAAAATAATAATAACACACACACTTGCGCACCGCGTAAAGCGAATTTCTCTTGGTTGAAAGGGATTTTTTGCAAGTCGAAATATCCTCGTTTCAGTTGCCCCAAAAGGTGTGGTGAATAAGTCAAAAGTTCATGTCGTTCGTAGGCGATGTTTCATTTTTATAATTTGAAGAGTTTGGTATCGAGCTAGTAATCTATTTTGTGAAGGTTTTTAGACATAAATGTGTAAATTTAAATAATACGATTTGGCATGTTCGTCTGCCCAGCTGAAGCCTATGCAACTGCAACTGCAACTGCATGACTCACACCAAATGAGGCAAGATCTTCGATTTTCCCACCGCACATATTTAGCATTCATATTGCGTTGCAGCTCGCTATTATGCCCACGTGTATTATTAGCGTCCATGTAATACTCGCAAAGTGCATGCTTTTCACTTTGCCGCATACGTTTCAAAGTCATTAGGCGGCGCACTCGCAGAGCAGATGCTAGCCCAACTCTGACCCCTGACCCCTGACCCCAGGCCCCGTATTCCGGCTCTGCTTACAACGGACTCCGGACGCCGGAACGAACCGTGGTCATTATGCGGCTGGTTATTTTCCAGGTTCCGTGGCTCAAGTGCCTATTTGAGATCGGGCAGGGGTCGCGACCCCGAGCGCCTCCAACTTGCCGTTCGAGTTTCAGTTTGCTTTCCGCCTGGTTTTTACTTTTTTACTTTTTTTTTTTTTGCCACACCGAGCATTTCAAAAGAAGCACTTAAAAATCGACACGGTATGCAGTTATTTGTTATTTACTGTTGGCGAAAATTGCTTACTTGGAGTCGTTGCCATCGGTCCACAACCATCGGTTGGCCCAGAGAGCAGCGTTATATCTACGGTTTTCAATCAGCCTAATGACAGAGACGGTCGAAATTTGCTTTTTAATTAAAAGAAAATACCATTCAACATTGTCGAAGAGCAGACACTCGAAAAACTCAACTACTCGCATCGCATCACAGAAACTTGGGCCAAAGGAAAGCCCGACTCAGATAAACAGAGTAGCCGAGCCATAACAACAATGATAAACAAGTTTGCCACTTCATTTTGAATGGTCCGGCGACGTTCTGATAGCTACTTAGTGCCCATATTAAAATCCGACCGACACAAAGCCACAAAGCCAATGCAATGGCAACTTCCTGTTCAAACAGATAAACATCAAGGGTAGCCAGCATCGGGAACATAAATAAAAACAACAGTGCAGTTGCTCCGAAATGCAACTTAATCAGCATTTATGAAAGAATCTCCAAACTATTGCTGCCCTACACGGAACTGAATTAGTGAGCGGGTATGCATGAAATTGAGATAGCTCTAGATAACACACTGCCTTAAGCTGGGTAATGGGTATCTGATAGTCGCTACCCTGGACTGCTGATAGGCGAAGTCGAATTTAAGTTTACCCACAGCATTTGTAAAGGGTCTTACGATTTCGTGTTCACAATTTACTTTTTCCCGCTTCGCATTGCCACCCGTTAGAAGCTAATAATTTCATATTTTTATGCTGAAGCATTTATTTGCTTAACTGTCTGGTTGTTTGGCTGTTGGTTTGTAATCTGCCAAATGTACCAGCCGAATCCCGCTCCTGGCCTGGTCTGCTCGCCACTCGAGCTAATGACACTTTATGTGGTCGAGGCTGAAGTGGCTGGGAACTGCGGGAAGTCGGCTGCCGACCTGGTAGTCATCCAAGTTGCAGAGAGCAGCTCGCCAGCAACCTGCTGCCTCGGCTGGGTGTCTGGATAATGTGCTTTATGCCTCTTGTCTGTGGTAAGTTTTCAAACCAAAGGCGTAATCCCCGAGAGCGCTTGGCTTTGATGAGGCCCTCGAGAGTTAGTTCTTCTGGCTATATGGTTGTGCTGGGTGGTACACTTCGTTTAGTTCGTAATATTGATGAACTCATGACCCAAGTCGGGCGTGTTTCTATCGAGTGGAGCTGCTTAAAGCCATTTGCCAGCAATGGCTATATTAAAGTTGTGCCGTGCAGGCCATTAGGCCTATCATTTGCATCTGGCTATCTCCATTGAAGTGGGTGAGGCGTGTCCGGGCTTTACAATTTTAAACACTTCCGCCGCACAATGCACGTGGAAAATAAATACAAAAAATCTTTACTCAACCACTGTTGTCCGCACATAAAACTTTCCCATTCGGTTGTCTGTCTGGGCAATAAACAGGAAAAATTTACGCGCTGCTAACATGCAACTTGTGGCTTGATCCTTGAGTCAAGGTTTCTGGCGGACTTCCTGTGAGGGGCCACCGAGGGGCAAATGCAATTTCCCCATGCAGCTTGCATAAAACTTGCAGCTGGAATTTTCCCCCGAGCAATTTCATATTAGAGTTCCACTCGAGCAACTTTGTAATTGAAATCAAAGTGTGTAAAGTGAGCTCGAAATCAAACCGAATGCAACACACATGAACACTTTCGAAACGAACCATTCCATCAGCTTCGCCCTCAATTGAACTGTGGGACAAAAGACATGCCGGCATTCGGAAAACTTGGTCATTTATTTTGATTAAAGTTGCCTAACAATTAAACCCTCTGTAAGTGAATACAGTTTCGAGAATTGCCATGCCCAAGTGTTTGCCAATTGTTTGCATTCAGCACGACTTGGATCACTTTTCACGTGATTGCGTTTCCTATTCATGAAAACAAAGGGAAAAGATTGCTGAAAGGATTCTTTCAAGTTACTCACCAGTTTTCCACGAACTAAACTGTTTGGTGCAGCCAAAAATGTGTTTGCTTATTGCATACTTTATGGGAACCGTGTGTTATAAACCAGTTTGGGCTTATTACGTATTTTATACTTTAAATTGGAAAATGCATGCGCCAAATGCCATGCCTTCTTGTCATTGAATTTGGGTCATTAATTAGTTTCGTATTCATTACAAAATCTATAATTAATATGAAAATAATTTGGGCAACAGCATGCAAAATGCATGGAAATCATCTTAATAGTAAATCTCAAATCAATTTGCCAAATCCCCAGCACACGCACACAGCTGCACACACACACGCAAGCACTCGCACGCA